GCCTGGCCCTTCCTGGCCCCGCAAGCCCCGCAGGATCACTTCCATGGGCTTCTCCTCGGCCCCACTGGCCCTTCCTGACGGGACCCCACACACAAACTCCCGACACTCCATCCTCGTTTCTGGCTCTGCTTCTGGGCGAATCTCCAGTGGAATCCTGCCTGGCTCCTCTGGAATGGCAGTCCACGCCAGTCAGCTGCTGAGTGTTGGCCCAGCGCTGTTCCCTCTGCTTTCGTGCGCTACCACGGTCCTCCCGAGCAGCCTGCAGGTGGGAGAACTGAGGCGTGGGGGACCCGCCTAACCTGCCCTCATTCCCTCAGCTATAGCCGTGCCCGGCCCTGCAGAAACCATACCGAGGGCCTGATCTCTTCTCCTGTCTCCTGTTCTCTCCGATGCGTTTTGGCAGAGGCCTCACGTCGGCGGTGACGGCGAGGAAGGTGGCCCAGCCTTACCCTGAGAGGTAAGGAGCAGAGGAAGGGAGGGGTCAGGGAAACACCCCATCAGGCTCTCGCCCCCACCGAGAAGCTCCCCTCTGGTGGGGACAGGCTCACACAGTAACACCCCAGCCTCACGCCCTGGCTGGGGATCAGTATTCCCAAGGGAAGGGCCACGTTCTGAAGAAGGTGAGTGTCCATGACCAGGTGCCCGTGGTGGGGTGAGGGAAAGGTCTACCTGTCTGGGGCTCAAGGAACCAGGGCTTCCGGGGAGGGGGCAGAAAATATGTTTCAACAAAGTGTAGGCGGGATGCGTAGCAAAGAAGATGCTTCTGCTCCCTCCTCCCCCCACCCTGTGGTTTCCAAACATGGCTGCCAGCTCTGTGGCGCTCCTGTCATCGAGAGGTGGGGACCCTGCCCATGCTCCTCAGCCTGGGCGGCCTGTGACTGCTTCGACCAATGGAGCATGCCACAAGTCACACTAAATGGCGTTGAGGCTGGTTCACAAACACCGTCCAGTGTCCCGTGTCCCCCGGACTGCCCTGGGGCCGCCATGTTGTGAGGAAGCCCCAGCTACACGGAGATTCCACGTGTGGCCCCAGCTGAGCCCGGCTTCCCAGCCCCCTTCCCCCTCCGCCCAGGCCCTGGATGCATGGATGAAAAGGCCTCCAGATGATTCCACCCCCCTCACCATGTGAGTCTTCCCAGCTGACCCCCCAGATTTGTGGAACAGGAGGAAAGCCAACACCATTGTGTCCTGTCTAAATTGTGACCCACAAAATCCATGAGCAAAATAAAAGGTAAGTTTGAGGGTGGTATGAGGGGCGGCCCCCCCCCATCCCTGGCTGCCTCCATCCAGATGGAAAGGCAGCCCACGCAGGACAGAAATACTCACACTTTCCTCTCGACACCTGAAGTTGGTCGAGCCACATGAGGCACCGCGTATCCACAGACAACTCGCAAGGCACGTCAGATCAAGTAAGTGTGGAAAATGCCAGCTCCAATGAGTTTCTTACCATGAGCGAGAACTTGAATGTGCCCATGCCCAGGAGGAGGATGGAGATGATGAGTAGGTTAAGACATTTTACTGCTTCCCCCTGCTTTTAGTAAAAACAGCCCCACTTTCCACTGAGAAGCCACCCCTCCTCCTCCCTCAGCCCACTGAGCTGTTAAAATTACATTCATTAGCTATAGATCACTCTTTAGAAAGAATTTCTAAATATTTCTTAGTTGAGTTGCAAAACTTTCTCTTGTGGAGAGTCTGAATCACTCACACAAATAACTTCTTCCTGCTTCCCAGCATGGCTGCTGTGTGGAGAGTAGGTGTCTCAGGAACACCCAGGGGTGCCTGCCCACAGCCCATTCCCAGAGGACTCCCCTAGGACCCCAGGCCCAACAGATCCTGGGGATGCTTACCCCAGGGGGTCAGCATCTTCATCCATCTGGACATTACAAAGGAAAACCAAAATTTTCCATCCCAGATGGATTTTGCAAAAGTTAGTGTACCAAGGGGCAGTCGCTCAGCAAGTGACAGTTGAAATAGCTTCACTTGCGTAAATGTTTCTAGAATACGAAGAGTGAAGGCCACTTGTCTGACCGAGTATCTCATGAACCCAGTCCCACTGGCTGCCCTTGGGTCCCAGAAGCTACTTGTCCAGAGGAGGCCCCACATCCAAGGTAAGGTCGCCTCTGCGGCCCTAAGAGCATTCTCCGCACTCCTGGCTCTTCCTGCGGCCTCTCGTCCGAGCCCCGCCCTCCACAGACGAGGGCACCCCAGCCTCCCTTCTCTCCTTCGAGAAGCTGAGGGGGCAGGGTCTGCCAACGGTCTGCACAGGAGTGCTGAGCTCTGGGAAGAAGCAGACTCCCTCAAGTTTCCACATTTGGCCCTGAATCCACAAGCAGAAAAGGGTTTGCTGATAAACAAAGTTTCTGCTTGCTACATGCGGGAATTAGTGACTCATGAGATGTCTAAGCCAGCCAGCGATTGGCCAACGGCCGCCTCTCCTGGGGTTTAGCCAGCCGGGGCCAGGAGCCCTGAAAGGGCAGGAAAGCCAGGCCTGCAGCCAGGCCTGGTCAGAAAGCCTCTCACACTCAGCTGTCCCGGGCCACGAATGGCCACAGGCCACTGTCCACGGGGACGTGCCTTCCTTCGCTCGTCTCTGCATGGAGGACGAGACCGTCCCAGTGCCCGTTGCCTGTAGGTGGAGCATGGTGGGGAACCCCCCCGGGTTGGCTGGGGTCTGGGCCCCCATGAAACTGATCTGTCCCGGGTTGTTCAACAGGTATGTCCCATGAAGCAACCTCCACGATGACCAGTCTGGGACCCCCTAAGGACCCCGCGCAGTGAGTACGTGTATGAATGGAGAGATGCACGTCCCCATCACGTGCAGCTGACCCAACCAGGGGGGGTCCCAGCACCTTCCAGGGCAGGCCTATCCCCACCAACCTCCTCCTCCCTCCACACTCCTCACAATACACACAAAGGGGCCCCTGCACTTTCAGAAAAACCTAGCATGCCCTTTTTCTCCAGAAGGTTCTCTATGATCTGCAAGCCTCTCTACCTTTTTGCTGTTGTTTTGGGGATGAGTGAAAAACAAGCAGAAAATCCTTAAAACTCATTGTTTTTTAATTCCCCGTAAGGGAGGAAACATTTTACAGTGACTTAAAACACAGAGCATGAATCAGCTTTTAAAAGGGCATTTTATTTTAATAAACAAAAAAGATCAATATACGTTTTAAGTGGATACAAAAATAAATATTCATTTAGCATATTCAAGATCTACGTTTTACCATTTGTTTGAGCTAGACACCAAAACCCACTGTTCGGACATAATTTCAGAAAACAGATCTGTTATCCTTAAAAATGTGATGCTGGCTTTGTCGGCCAAAGAGGAAAAGCCACTTGTGCTGAATTTCCCTGTTTTCAGGTGGATTCAAACGCAGTGCAGGGGACCTACGATGACAAAGTCTTGCTCTATCATCTTTGCAGCAGCGGCCGCAGGCAATGTGACCAGGGATTTTTGGGCTTGGATTTTAAATTAGACTCGTGGTTACGAGGCGGCCAGGAGGCACTCTTGTCCCCAAACCCCAGCTTCTCCCACTTCGCCAAGTGCACCTTGACAGGTAAGGCCCCTTCCTGCCCTTTCAGGTGAGACTGAGCCGGGGCCGGTGGTGACCAGGCTGGGTTAATAAAAGAGAAATGAGGCAAAGACCCTTCTCCCCACCCCACCCCCGGGCGCGGAAGGAGAGCCCCCAGCCCCGCCTGGTGGCCACACTGTGCGCGGAGCTGGCTCCCCGGGGCACACAGCAGACACCTGCTCTGCACTCACCTGGCTGGCCAACCTCCGCCCGTCTTGGCACATCACCCCGGACACGGGGAAGAGGTACCCCAACTGAGCAAAATATTTCCCCCCCCCCAGAAAAAAATGTTCAAGTGCTTTTTAATCATGAAAGTGTTTTTTGGAGCCATTGTGGAGATGTGTCATGTGTGCGACGGATGGCCAGCAGCAAGGCTGACCTGCCCTTGCCCTTCTGACACGCGTGGGGTAGTAAATGCATCTTCTTTGCTAGCAAACAGCCTAAGTTCTTCTGGGGCTAAAACTGGGACTTCTCCCCTCGGTGTCTCACTATAGGACTCTGCTGAAGAGTAGAATTGGGTATGGCCCAAGGCCACCCTGAACCTCAAGGAGTCCCAGGGCGGGGGAAGGCATTGTCCCTGCTACCATCCACCCCAGGACCGGGGTGGTGAGGACAGGTGCTGGTGACAGCCCCTCCAGTACGCCCAAGCCACGCCCACACTCTCCCCACCACCGCCTGGGCTCTGGGTTCGCTGAATGGAAGGCACAACCAAAATGCTTGTACAATCTACCATTACTTTTTGAATTTGTGGTTTATAGCCTGCTCACTTTATAAAAAAAAAAATTCAAAGCAGTTTACAGTAGGACAAGTAAAAGTATGTGTATTTTTAAAACCGGTCAAAACCATTTAGCAAGAAGAAAAGAGCAAGGGATCTGGGAATGATTTAATCATAGAAATGAAAAATTTAGCTCTAAGATTCGGGGCAGTAAGGCCCACAGGGAAGATTTTCATGGTGGGAAGGTGAGGACACACCAGTCCATCTGGTGACGGACACGCCCGCCTGGCAGGAAATCCTAGGCAGGGCGTCCATTCCTCTAACAAGCCTGGCGTTTTGCTTTCTCTTGCTGAAGGGAGATTGTTATCTAAGTATTTCGGCATCTTATTAACATGTTTAAAAAAAGACTCCACATCGAATCAAGCGTATGAAATCATGAATCTATCGCTCTAACACAAGGTAAAGACAAAAAGCAGCCTTGTTCTGACAAGTTGATCTTCTCCAAATCTTTTTCCAGGAAGCAGCTATGAGCTAGTAAAATTGAAGGGTAAGTCTTTGGAAATATCCGTTATCCCCAAATGCTGAAAGAATCTAGCAACTAATGGTAATTAGGGGAAATAAATGTTTGAATCACAGGTTATAGTTACAGCATCCAGGTCATTTGGGGGGCACGTTTCAATGTTTGAGAGTCGAGTCATGCTTCTCCTGTTCAGGTATAAAGGTCAAGTCCTCAGGGAACGCCCTTACTAAATTAAGAGCCGAGTGAGGCATCCCGCCCCAGGTCACAGGGATCCACATCCTTAAATAATTACAATAGTAATTGTAATAATGAAACACGAGGTGTGGGCAGGACGGGGTGCCCTAGAGAGAGGCTTAAACGGTGATCTGTTGGTTTTCTCTGAAAAAAGGTCTCTGGTGTGAGGCACAGATGTCTGGAAACATCCGGAAGACCTGGTCTGGCTGGGGCTCCTCAGGCGGCTGCACCAGGGAGCCGGCACCGCAGCTCTTCCCCGCTTCTTCCACCAGCTGCCGGACGTAGAGCTGCTCGATCTAGAGGGACGGGCACAGGTCAGACGTGGAGGTGGGAAATGCGGTGGGGCGGTCTCGGACCCCGGCCAGATTCTCTGATTACCCAAAGTGCCGAGAACCTCCACATGAGTCCCAGATAGGCAGGTGCAAGGGAAGGGCAAGTGGTAGTGCTGCAAAGTCTACGGTCCCAACCTGGTAGCCAGTGTCCAGAATTCCACCATTAGTTTCATTCCTTTGACTAGATTAAATAAGGGCTTGAAAAGTCTCTCTCTCAGACCTTGAGGCAATTAAACCTTCCTAGAAAGGGGGTTTTGACTTAAGGCAGGGGGAGAACACAGAGGGAGAGAGGTGATAAGAATCCACGAGCCCCATGCGGAGGTCTCCCCCGGGCCTGCCTCTGTCCACAGGTGGAGTCCCCCGGTCCCTGCTGCCTGTTCTCCAGCCCAAGTATAAACGGAGTCCCGAGGAGTGGGCCGGGAGATCTTACCTGCACGAGAATGAGTTTGGAGCGCAAGGGGGTCATATCTGGAAACTCTTCTCCAAAGCACAGCACCACCCTGCCGTCGGGAAGCCGGCTCTGGCTGTTATAGAACTGCTGCAGTTCTGGGAGGACACAGGGGGAGGGGGCGCTGACCACAGCTCCCAGCCTCGCTCCCCTCTGCCCCAGGTAGGCACCCCAGGGCCTGCACACCTGAGCTCACACACCACACCTCGCCCCCCTCCATAGCGCCGCTTCTCCAGGGAAGCCGCCCCCACCCCCTGGGAATTCTCAGGCCAGGTGGCAGGAGACCTGCCCCGAGCTGGTGCTGTTCCAGGTGCAGAGAGCACTGGGGACACAGCAGGGAGCCGGCGCCGCAATGCAGCTGGTCTGATTGCAGCGACCCTGACCTTCTAGGAGGAGCACCCAGGGCGGGATGCTAATCCGCGGCCCCGCAGAGGCACAGAGCGGTTCCCCAGGATTGCTCGGCAAGCAAGCACCGAGCTGGACCAGAACCAGGGGGGGCCCTCCTGCTGCCTGCACCCCGCGTCCCCTGCTCCTCCACGGGCCCACCCTGGCCTCAAGGGACAGAACACAAGGGGAAGGCTCGGGGCAGCACGCCGACAGCGGGACCCACCTCGGAAGAACTGGCTGGTGTCGAAGACCTTGACCACCTCGTCGCGCTCCAGCTTGTTGGGCCGATCCTTGCAGAGCACTGCGTTGCCGCTGCAGAACACACGGCCCTGGCACAGCCGCTTGACCAGCACGCCCTGCCGGCTGCTGTGCAGGAGCACGCCGCGCTCCAGGTGCCCGAACAGCTTCCGCGTCACCTGCCGCTGCCGCTCGCTGGGGATGGCATCCGCCGGCGGGAAGCGCACCAGCTCCAGGCCCTCGGGGCCGTACAGCTTGGTGCCCGGCAGGCCCGGCTGGCCCAGGGACAGGCGACAGCCCTCGGGGCAGGTGGTGGTGGTCTGGCCCACCAGCTTGCCCCCGTAGTAGAAGCTGATGACCATCTGGGAGAAGGCTGCGGGTGAGAGGGGCACCGGTCAGGGGCTGCGGGGAAGGGGGAGCCAGGCCTCTCGGCGCAGGGGCTGGGGGGTGCGCGTTCAGTTCTCGGGTGCCTGGGACATCTGGGCACTCGAAGTTCATGCACCCTTCTAGAAAGCATTTTTTTTTTTTTTAAGCATGCATGAATATACAGAATTACTAAGGAAACCAATGACTCAACGTAAAACACCCCCACAGCGCACTCCATTCTCCCGGCGAAGGTCGCGATGACCCGTACAGTTTAGAAGTTCATAAAACCGCTCCGCCTCCCGGATCCTAATGTGACTCTCCCACGCTGTCCTGTAATACGCACGTACGCCACACCGCATCCATCGTCTTACGGGCTACGTAACCAAGGGGCCTGCTCCCGAATTCATCACCGACGCAAATGCGAGATTCGAATTCCAGGGCAGGGGAAACAAAGACGTGATCCTTTTCTTGACAAATGCAATCCCCTTGGGGTTCCGGCGATTTCAAATGGTGAATCCAAAACCCTTCACCTACACCTATTCTCAGGAGTCTGAAAAACGTTCAAATGAAAACGTCTCCCCGCATGTGGGCGGCGGGTGCCACAATATTCTCTCAGGCTCTGGTCACCTCAAGAAGCCCCGGCTTGGTGCTGGTGGATCCTTAAAACCAACTCCGGGCACACTCCTTCTTAAAGGGAGAAAATGGGTCTCCGAGCCTCAGGCAGGTGGTGCCATGGGGCCAGAATTCTGCTGGTGCAGCTGGTCCCTGGGCCCTTCCCACTGGGCTCTGCTTAAGCATCATTTGCTCAGGGGCGCCTGGGTGGCTCAGTTGTTAAGCGTCTGCCTTCAGCTCAGGTCATGGCCCCAGGGTCCTGGGGTCGAGCCCCGCATCGGGCTCCCTGCTCGGCGGGAAGCCTGCTTCCCCCTCTCCCACTCCCCCTGCTTGTGTTCCCTCTCTCTTCTCTGACAAATAAATCTTTTAAAAAATCATTTGCTCAATCAAGTAATGAAGACTCCCCTGCCGCCGTTCACTGGCTCCATTTTCTCCCATGTTGGAGTTAAGGAGCATTCTGGAATCATGCCGAGCGGGGAGCTCAGGTGTCCCAGTGCAATTCACTCATGTGACATGTGGGAACACTGAGGCCCAGGTGGGGTCGCCTGGCTGGAAAACGGCAGCGCCGGCATGTGACCTCGCGCCCTGTTCCACCCGGTTCACCATCCTGCCCCACCAAGCTGGGTCTGTAACATCTGCAAAATGGGGAAAGCAAGCCCGGCGGGGCTGACACGCTCCGCTTCCTTCACTCCAGAACAATCCTGAACGCTGTCCCAGATGACTCTTATCACCACTCCACACCTTTGCCCTGTCGCTGCCTTGGCCGTCCTCCTAGCAGTGCCTCGCGGCCAGGAGAACTGGCTGCTTCCAAGGGAGCTCCCCAGATGCCCATGCAAGGCTCTCCCAGGGGCCCCGGAACCACAGGGCAGCATAGCTGGGGGAAGGTTCGAGCTGGCAGGGCCTGAGCGAGGACCACTGCCCCCGACAGGTGAGCCGCGGAGGAAAAGCCACCACCAGGACCTTCTGCAAGTCTCAGCAGGCCTCCGCCACCTGTCCTGCCCCCCAACAGCCACCCGCCAACCAGGGGACAATGCTAGGAGCACAGGCACCCTGACATGGGAGCCCAGCTGTGTGACCAGGGGCAAGCAACTTCACCACTCTGTGCCTCAGTTTCCCCATCAGCAGAGAGAATAGTGGCACCCACCTCCTCCGGCGGCTGAGGATGGCGTGAGCTCATGTTTGCACTTAGCACACGTAAGCACCCCACGAGCAGCTACGACTAGATAAATCAGGATTAACAGGACAAAACACTAGCTGTGTAGATGAGACTCCTGAAGTTCCAAATCCTAAGTCCGGGTCTCTGCAGTAGATACCAGGTGCTGTTTCCAGTGCACCGGACCTATGAGCACATTTAATCCTCACAACGGCCCTGAGGCAGAGGTGACTATTACAGGTAAGGAAACAGGTGTAGACGGGCTAAGGCGTCTGCTTGGACAGCATGACTGCTGAGTTGGGGACACTGGATTCCCTCGTCCCCAGCAGACCGGCTCTGCCTCTGTGGTCCTCAGCACGGTGCCCCCCGCTGTCCGAGTTCAGCCCTCGCCTTCACCCCCAAATGTCGCGAACACAGCCACGGGCGCATTTAGATCCGCCAGCACACTGGGGCGTTGTTAATGCAGGTCTGTGGTCAACATTTCACTCGGGAAGGCTTCACATAAAAACCTAGACTTCTGATCTCTCCAGGAAAATGGGGAAATCAAGCCCGGCGGCATCTGAAGGCCGTGGCGTCCAGCTTCCCTGCCACCCTTCACCCACCAGGTCACTCATCACCTCGTCCCTGCGGACCTGAGAACGGGGGACCCCTGCCATCAACTTATTTACACAGGTTGGGGGGGGTGACCGGAACAGGGGTACCCAAGTCCACAACTTCTAGAAGAGCGTGTTAGGCTTTTCCTTGTGTGAAGCAGTGCTACGGGTTGCTTCACCCGCTGTGTGCTGGGACAGCTCTGGGGCAACCGAGCACACTTCCTCCTCGCCCAGAGGCCTCAGCCCTGCCCCCCAGCTCCCCTCCTGCCCCCAGAAAGCACCGGTCAGCAGACTGCCCCGGCCACAGCCCAGAGCTGACTAGGACAGAGGCCTGGCCCCATGAGCCAGGGCCTCCCGGAAGAGGCAACCAGGTGCCTGGCTTTGACCCCGGCCACCTGCTTACCAGCTGGGTGAGCCTGACCAGCGATTTAACCTCTAAGTCTGGGTTCCCTCCTCTGTGACAGGCCCCAGTGTGCAGGATGGCTCTGCAGTGACACCAGCGCTATGAACAGTAACACCGCTTCTGTGTGTCATCTTCTTGCCTGGGTGGGAACCTGCCTCCACTGCCCCAAACACCCGTCCCATGAGGGCCTTGGTCCAGACACCTCTCTGAGCCCCATTTCCTCCTCTGCACCAAGAGACCTCCGGTCCCCCAGACTTAACGTCCTGTGGTCCATCCTGATGAGTCAGGCTGTTCATTTCTCATAGAACTGACAGCTTTTGGGGAAGACACCGGCTTCCTTTGCTCTAAGGCCCCATCAGGGAGCCGGAATGCAAATTCCAGGGGCCACTGGCAGGACGTTGGAGTCCCCAACATAAGTAGACAAAAATGTACCAGAGGCCACCTTGGACCATGAGGGACAGGAGCAAGGATAGGACAGCCCGAAGCCATATCCCAGCTCTGCAGCCCACGGCGGTGTGACCCAGGGCTTCTGAGCCTGTGCAGTGGGAAGAGCAAGAGCACATCTCTATGGGTGATGGGAAGTACGGGATGCAGACATTTAAAGTCTCAGCACTGATCCTGGCACCTAGTCAGCATTCAGTAATGCCAGCCACCACCATCATCTCCATCATCCCCACCATCATCTCCATCACCCCATCATCTCCATCATCACCATTTCCATCATCTCCATCATCCCCATCATCATCCCCATCATCTCCATCATCCCCATCATCTCCATCATCACCAGCAGCAGCAGCAGCAGCAGCAGCAGCACCATCCCCATCATCATCATCCCATCATCACCATTCATTAGTATCATTATGAACTTGAGTGTGGAAGAAAGTAAAACAAATGGATACTCATGACAGACACTGGTGACATTTGTTGACCAATGACGTCCCTACCAGAAACTTTTAATGACACTCCATTTAATCCTCACCACACTCTAGTGAGGTTCCGAGTGTCTCAAATCACTCTGCCTGGGGTCACAGAAGAGGGGCAGAGCTGGGCCCGAGCTGTCCCCAGGCCCAGGCTCTTCTCCTGCAAGGTTATGCAGAAAGAGCTCTTTGGATCTATTTGTTGGTCCAATCCAAGAAGAACCTCAAAAAGGCCGGCCCCTCGCTTGCTTCCAAAGTAAACAGTGAGGAGGAGGAATCAGGGTCCTGACTTCTGACACCAGATCGGCTTGTCCATGCACCTGGGCAAGCCCACACAGGTCCTCTGAGCTCTGCCTTCAAAGCGCACCCATGTCCTACCCGCCAGTGCAGCCGAGCGCAGCTCCATACCTGAATGGTGCGCGTCGTACGCACTGTAGCCCGTCCCCAGCGGCAAGCCTGCCAGAGAAAGCGAAAGGCAGATTCAGACCCAGCTGTGTGGGGAACCAACCCAAATGCTCCCTCTCCAGAAGTTTCTTTAAAAGCCACACATGGTGTGCTCCTGAGTTCCTGCCACAGGCTTCTGCTGAATTTGGGAATCCCCCTGCCCCAGCACGGTAACCCATGTTTCGTAAACCAGACCTCAACTCAACCAGGAAAGAGGGGGAAGAAACATTCTGTGCTGTGTGATTTTTGACCAAGGGTCAGTGTGATGCTCTGGGGTCCCAATTCCTCCCACCCAAGGCCCTGCTCCCAAAATATCACGGGACTGCATGCCCACCATCCAGGCCTTGTCTCCAGAGAGGGACCTGGGGCCCGAGCTAGCTTTCCCTGAGGTGTCACCACAGTGCAGGGAGAGGGGGCTCACCCAGGGCCCCGGAGGCCAAACTGCCACCTGACAGCTTGGCGACCTCTTAAGTCAGCTGGGCCAGAGTCATCTCCCAGTCTCCCACGGGGGATCAGTGGGGGAGAGAGCCCGAGGGAGGAGGCACAGCAATCCGTGCATGCGGAGGAGAGTTGTTCGAGTGGGAAGGTGGGGTGGAGGCATCAGAAGCTGATAAACGCGTGAATGTCTCCTTCAGCCCCTGTGACCCCCTGGGACAGGTCCTGGGGTCTCCATCAGATGAGAGGACTGAGACTTGAATAAGTTACACAAACCCCCCCTCCATGGGATTCAAATCTAGGGCTCCCACTGAGCAACTGCACAGTCCTGGCCCTGGGCCCCCTCCTCTCCTGATGCCCTGGGCTCCCCGTGGCTCTGAGGGGTCCCTGATGTCCTACGAGAGTGGCTGGCAGGCCCAAGTGGCAAGCTTGAGTGTGGCCGAAAGCCCCTGTCTCCTCTCTGGTCTGGGAGGGGTTTGCCACCGCCCCTCCCTCCCCTCCGACCCTCCCAGGAGCCCAGACGGCAAGCAGAGCCCTCCTAGGGGAAGGGTCCCTGTGCCCTCCTAAGAGGCAGTGGTGAAGGGGGCTCAGTTACTTTCAATAAAATAGGGATCACCGTAGTTCCATGGCCCCACGTGACCCCCACTGCCTGAAGGTAGAAAGGGGGTGAGTGCCATGCCCCCCACCCTCCACCCCCTCATGTGGGGCAGGCCCGGAGGCCCATCCTCACCTGCGCCAGACTGTTGCACCCACCACTCTGGGAGGAGCTGGTTCCTGCAGGCCTCTGGCGGGGAGGGGCTCCGTTTGACCACCCCCATGTAATCGTCCACGGAAGGCTGTAGGAACAGGGGCGAGAGAAGCGTGCTGTGGTCACTGGGCTTCCAGAGTGGGACTCCGGTGTTTGCAGAGATGAACGGTTTAGACTTAACCAAAGACATACTGTCACCTTTATCCCAAGACAAAAGGAAAGTTTTACTTCTCATCGTGAAGGATCCAAGAAAAACTCACCAGGCTTAGCGATCAAACCACGTGCCTGAGTGATTAGCCTCTGCAGGACCCCTAATAAGTTTATGGCCTTTTCTGTGAAACTGCCTGTCGCAAAACGGAATGGCCAGGTCATCCAGCGGCCCCGATGCCCCGGAGAGGCAGAAGGTTCCGGGACACCAGTGAACAGTGACACTGGACAGACTCTGCCATGACTTAGCGCAGCCTCCTTCCCTCTCGTCTGGACTTCCGACCTCTGGCCCATTCCTGAACAGATGCTGATACATCTGATTAGCCAACATTTTGAACTCTGCATTTCTTGGGATCCCGGTGCGGCAACCCAACCACCTCACTCTCTTAGCTGAGTCAGCAGAAAAGCCCTGCAGGAAAAACAGGATGTTGTTGGAGATGCGAGGCCAGGAATTCACTCGGTCAGCTGCCAGAGACAACCAGAAACTCAGCATCTGCCACCCGCACAAAACTCAGGCCACTGAGAGGAGGCTGCATTTTGTTATCTGCATCCTCGGACGACGAGCTACTCCTAAAAATTCCGCTATTGCCACACGAGTATTAGGAAGGATTTCTATAGCACCCACACCACCTTTTATAAGGACTGTGTGGGGTGATTTCAGCTACGCTAGGTCCACCTGGTCACAGCCATAAACACAGAAGTAAGAGGCGGATGGTAACAGAAAGGGTATCTGTAGAGCTAAAACTGGCATCCAAAACCCCACCCATTTTGCCTAAGGAGACCCCGTTAAGCCTTTACTTAGAGCCTACGAAATGAGTTTGCATACAATTCTCACAGGCTGATCACCTGCCTCCCAGTGGCAGATTCTAGACAGGCAGCCCGCCCACTGGGAGCGTCTCGTAAGGACCACCCCAAGCCGCGTGGGGGATTTACATTTTGTTCGGTGCAGCCCACCGAAGAAGCCAAGGGGTTCCGTGATGCATTTTCTAAGACTGCCATTCAAAATGTTTAAAACAGGACAAGTTTACAGCTGGAGCACAGAGCAGGGAGCCCAGCCCCAGCCCCCGGGATGAAGTTGAGGAACCGGGGCAGGGGGTGGAGGTGCCACACCCCAAGAGTGTCCAGGGCTCAGAATGCCTCGGCAGGGCAGGTGCAATGCCACTCCTCCCCGAGACCCTCGCAGCTTCCACGGCTGGGGCCACTCTGGCCGGGCTGCCCGCTCACCTCCTTGATGAGCTCGTCGATTTCGGATCTCCCGCACTCCATCTCGGGGATCTCGCTCACGCAGCTAGGAGTCGCCATGCCCAATTTGCCTGCGGAAAATCGGACAGACACGTGACACACGGCACTAAGCCCACCACAGCCGTCATCGGGGCCAGAAACTGAGTCAGCTTTTTGGTTTGGGGTTTTTTTAATGCTGAGTTGAAGGAAATAAAAGTCAGTCGGTGTCTTCACCGGTTTGGAAAAGGCCTAGAAATTATTTCCCGTGCTGCCTCAGTTGTCTGAGCAGCCAAGTCAAAGGGAGAAGTCGGTTTTGTTGTTTCTAACACTCAGAGGGTGAGGACGGCCATGTGGCTCGTCCCCATTTGCTGAGCTGGAAAAGGAGTGCCCACCAGACACCCTTCACGCCAGGCGTTCACCACCCATATGGGTTACATTCACAAGCCGGGCTATTCGAAGACACTCAGAAGATTTCCTGGCAAAATGTGTGTGCAGATTGGAGTCATTTTTTAAAGTTAATTGACAGGAAATGTCTTTGTGGCCTTTCCAAATATACAGCGCGCATCTGGGCACACACACCAGACGAGCATGCACACAGCGCACCAGGAAGGCTGGCTCCATCAGGCACGGCCTCCAGGCACAGAGCGGCCCCACGGTAAACCCCCCACCCCAGGCTCATTTCCTCCCTGCCCCCACCCCCAGGTCAAAGATCTGCCTTATCAAAGGATCTGTATGCCATGTCTTACAACCAACAGGCACCTGACTGACCCATGGCTCCATCCCAACTGAATCTCAATTCTACTTGGACAGACTCAAGAATTCGCTAGAAGCTGTGGATGGGGGAAGTAGGGAGTGGAGGGGGCACCCCCAGTGAAGCTTGCAAACCACTGAAGTACAGAGCAGAGTGGGTCCATTTAGACACTATGCAAATGCAGCGTCCCTCTGCCCCCTGAGAACCAGCTTCTTCTGTAAAACCCACCCTGGCAGGTGATGCTGGCTGCACCCCACGCTATAAACAAGCTGGGCTCACCTGCCAGTTCAAGCTTGGCCGATCCTGGGGCGGGGGAACCAAGAGAAACTTCTCCACTCCCTCAAATCACAATTCATTTGGTGTTGATGAAAAATTATCCAGAACTTGGAGGTGAGGGGGAGAGATGCAGGGCTGGCCTTTCAGAGCCCTCCCAGAGCATTACCTAGGAGGCCTCCCTGTCAAGGTCGAGGCCTCCCTGTCAATCAAGGTCGTCAGGTTCTCCAGAGGAAGGTCAGTTTGACTTACTGCTGAATGGTTCTGACTCAGTCAAGTTAGGTGCTAATTTACACACAGGGAAGCTACAAACGACCAGCACCTCTGACAACCCCCCAAACTACGGGTGCACGCCGGGGACAGGACATCCAGCAGCTGGGCTTGCAGACCGAGTATCACCCGAGCCTCACGTTCTCCGTTCCACCGTCTCTGTCCTTACGCTGGCTCCCTTGGGGAGGACTTAAATGACTCTCTGACCCAGGCTCACTATAGATTTGGGACAGCCACAATTTTAACTTTTTTCAATTCTCTGTGGACATTTTCAACCCTCCCCCAGTGGGAAGAGCTCAAATCCAGAACATCTGCACAGCCCCGGAGAGTTTCTGAGGGCTCTATTTCTTTCAGGCTCCCTGGATGACTAAAGAGCTTGGAAGAAGCAAGGGATTTGGCAGCAGGGGTCTAATTGCTACACCTAACGGCTAAGGGATGTGTGAAAAGAATGTTCTCAACCCCTGACGATAAGGAGCTTTCGTGTCCGGGCCAGCTCTGATCCGCACACAGCACCCCACTTCGCAAAGGCTTCTGAGGCCAGACCGGAGGTCGCTGCCTCCCGGCCAGGAGCCATTTCCAACCAGGGCGCCGCAACAGGGCCGTGGTACGTGAGGCAGGTTTGGGCGGCTCCTGCTTTCATCTCCTTGCGAATGCTCTGTCGGGATTTTAGAGCTGGAAGGCCCGACCAGAATCCTCACTTCCCGGACTTCCCAAATAATGATCAGGATCTAACCACGTGCCGAGTGTTATCTAATCTCTGGCCAGGAGGCCAATGGTGCCATTGTCCCCCACTGCATTCAAGAACCTTACCCTCTCCCCACTTCGTCCACCTAACTGTCCCCTAGCCTCCTCTGGGCATTGTTAGAACAGAAGGAACGCCTGTCCACCCTGCCCAGGCCACTTGCTCCTGCCCAACCCCGTGACCGCGCCTCGGGGAGGCCCCACCATCAGCCCTTGTCTGACAGCGGTGAGCAGCCTCCCCGCCCTTCCTCCCACGGCCGCCACCTCCCACTCAACTGGAAGCTGCCACTTGGCCAGCACATGGTGGCCGAGGTCAGGGGAAAGAGCTCTCAGTATCTGCTTACACAGAGGAGCACACAGTCGGCTGAGCTAAAACCACTCGCCCAGATGTCCCCTCCAGACCCAGGCAGCCTCTGCTGGGCTCAGCGCCCGGCACGGATAGTTACATTTTTGCTCTTCCTCGGGGACGATGCGGTAAACTTTGTATGGCTCAGAAATGTCCAGCTGGGACCGGTCTGTCACTTCCTCAAAATCTGGGCTCTTGTTCAAAGCACAGCGGAGCCTCGTCTTCCAAGTGGCCGGTTCAGCTTTGTCCCCTTCCTTAAATTTCCCTTTGAAAACTGCCCAGGCCTGAAGGAAAAGAAAGCAGCACATGAGATGCGAGGCCAGCCCCATCCCACCCCGACCATGGGGAAACGGCCACGGTCAGGACCGGCGAGTTCTCGCCGTCCTGCCACCTCTGGCTATGAGCTCGCATTCAGGGACCTTCAGGACTCAGGGATCTCCGTCTCGGAAAGACCCGGGCCAGGAAGGGGCCCCCCCCAGGGCCACCGAGCCAAGCCAGAAGCCAGCCCCTGCCCGTGGCTCCTCCCCACACACACATCTTGGATCTGCCTCTTGGCGAATCCTTCCCTGAACCAGTGGGCCAGGAGCCTGAGGTCAGCTAGCACAAAGAGGAAGTAGCACATGGTTTCACTAGAATGTTCAAAACAAAGAACAATTTGTTGCTTTTTCAAATCAACCCCTAGCCAAAATTTAGCATGAAAAGGGAACATTTGCAAGAAGTCTGAATGTGGTCATCCACTGCCCTGCTACTTTTAATAGAAATTTTGTTTTGCATTTTGGCATTTATTCTAACCTTCCCCGCCCCACCCCCAGGGCCCTGTTTAAAAGGCAACGAAACGTTTTCTGTCTCTGTTGGTTTTCCACAGCTGTTCCTAACCTCTCCAAACCTTACAGTCTCAACTAGGACCAAGACGCTCAAAGCTGGAAACCTACAAAAGCCACAACGCAGAAGGGGGCAGAACTGAAAAAAAAAATTCAGACGAACACGTGGATGAGCAGTTTCAAGATTTCGAAATTGGAATCCAGACACAACAACGAGGGGGTCAGGGCTGTCAGGTGAAAACCTTCGGTCTCGGGCTAAATCAGACGCACCTGCCAGCCTCCGTGAACACGAGGTCTGGAGGGAATCCTCAGCCCCACTCAGGAAGACGCAAGTCCTCCAAAGGTGACCTAGTCGGGTGTCAAACACCACACCCCGACCGTCAGCCCAGCGGAGTTCCCCTACAGCCAGGGTCCTCAAGCTCAATGCCCGCACCGGCGCCCACGGGGCTCGTGAAATGCAGATCCCTGGGCCCCGCCCCAGGAGTCTCCTTCAGTAAGCAGGGCTTAGTCTGGGAATCTGCATCTTCAGCCAGCGTCGCAGAGACTGGCAGGTGACCAGGGGGCCACACGTGCAGGAACTCCGTGACACCCCCGGCCCCCGGGACAAGACCTCACAGCTCCTTCTGCTGGCGCTCTGAGCTGAGCCAGGGCGCCGCTGCGGGAGGCGAACAGGAGAATGTTCCTCCTGGAGCGCATGAGCGTCACTCCTTTCTCTGACTCAGACACAAACTCCCCTCAAGTAAATGGCGTCCGGCCCCTCCCGATCGTTGTTCAGTGTTTTTTTATCGGCATCGCAGACCAGGCTTGGATTTACTTTTTTCAAGGAAGGCGAACCACGTACACGTTGAACAGTAATTTCCAATTTTTATTAGGTTAAATTCAAGTTTCTCCACCTCAGCACTCTTGCTATTTGGGGTTGGACCGTACTTTGGGGTGGAGGCCGTCCGTCCTGTGTGTGGCTGAAAGTCTAAAAGCATCCCTGGCCTTGACCCACCGGAGGCCAGAAAACAAACTGTCTCCAGACATGGCCAAGGGCGCCCCGGGGAGGCAACGTTGCGACACACTCCCCCACCCCCCCACTGCGAACCCCTGGTTAATCCACATTATACGCGGACCCTGAAGAGCATGGGTCTCCAGGCAATGTTAGGACCAGCTAGTTTTTATCCAGACCTGCAGGGCCTACCGTCCTATCACTCATCAGAGGGTCACACTCACCCATGAAGCAAGCCAGGACATCCTAGTGCAAAGCGGGGCACTGTGGTCAGGAGGCGCCCTGGGTGGGCATCAGAGGTACCTTGCTTCCAGCCCTGCCCTGAGCCTTTTCATGGGCTCTCTGGCCGGCTCTAAAAGATCAGCTTAGGGGCGCCTGGGTGGCTCAGTTCGTTAAGCGACTGCCTTCGGCTCAGGTCATGATCTCAGGGTCCTGGGATCGAGCCCCGCGTCGGGCTCCCTGCTCAGGGATCCTGCTTCTCCCTCTCCCACTCCCCCTGCTTGTGTTCCCTCTCTCGCTTGTCTCTCTCTCTCTGTCAAATAAATAAATAAAATCTTTTAAAAATAAATAAATAAATAAAAGATCCGCTTAGCTGGGTGATCTCTCAAGACCCTTCCTTCTCGAGCTACCTACCAGACAGAACGGAGCGATTCTGAGGCCCGTGGGCAGTCTCCTCCCCCAACCCCTTGCCTCCCGCCCCTGGGCGCTCATCAGCTGCCAGCAGTAAACCTGGGACCACAAAGTCTTCCTGATTTAATGTTACTGTCTCAACTTGTGTTTTTTTCCTTGACAGCCTACTGAATTTGAAATGTCTGTTCTAATTCATTTAGGCCGGTCACAATGCTGGTCAATGAGAGAAACAACCCTCAGCTTCACAAAAAGGAGGCAGAATACTTTTTTAAAAACAAGTACGAGTGGAAAAGAGCGCCTCGGGATACGCAAGGATGGTACAAAATGAGCTCAGCCTTTTCCAATCCCCCATCTCCGGCCTACACCACGAGGCAGGCCGCACAATCACACCTGCAGGCAATGAAGAATGCTCTAGTATAAATGGCTTCTCACGCTCCACTAAATTTTTTTGAAAGGTTTTCTTTGAATGTTCCATTCCAAAGGTTCTCTACTTAACCAGAAACCCCATAAGTCTCTTGGCCCAGCACAGGTGCGTTCGGGCGCCGTGGGGAGACACCCTCGGAGGATGGGCACCAGCTGGCATGGCCCAGCAGAGCGCCATGTGGGTCCTTCCCTGTTTCTCACCAGAGCGCCGCCCTCCCGGTGGCCGACAGCCCTGGGGGGCTCCCACGTCTCCCTCCCACCCGGCTCCTGCTGAGATTGTGGGCCCCTCTCAGATTGCCACACTGAACGGCTGCGTAATGAACGGAAGCATTGGGAATCTTGCACATTTTTCTCAACGCTGTTGAAACGGCCATGAGGCGCATTGCATAAGACATATCAAATCTGGGGCTTTATTTCTTTACCCCCAGAGCCTAAGTTGAAACAGGGAGCAGGCCTGGCACGGCCACCAGGGGCCACAGCCAGGGACATGCAGCCTACTGGTCGGGCCCCTACTCCCCTTCCGGAGAGGTCTCAGTGATGGTCACCCGGAAACCGGGCCCTCAGCACCCCAGGCATCCGCCTAAATCTGCTGGTCCTGGCCATGGTCAGCAACCTGCGCGGGTCCCAGTGGGGAGGGGGAGGGGGGCTGCCGGACATGCTCCAGGGCCCAGGACGGCCCCACCGGAAGGAACTATCTGGCCCGAGATGTCAACAGTGCTAAGGTTGAAGAGCTCTGGTCCGTAGCCATCTATAACCTCGAATTCCCAGCAGACTCAGTGGACCCTGGGCACTGTTTACATTTGGCTGGAGTCTTTCCCAGGAGAGATTCACCACGATGCCAAAGGCAAACCCTCTACAAGACAGGAGTCCACGGCACCGCCAAGAATGGTAAAGCAGCTATACCAGTGACACTGTAAACACCTGCCAGTGTCCAGGCTCCTGATGGGGAGAAATCTGCGGGACACTCGGGCGACACGGGGCCCCTGGAAGGCAAGTGAGGGCGAACCGTCCACATGGGCCCACTTTTTGGACAAGAGCCAGTAACTGACAGCAGTCTCCGAAAGAGATCTGGGACCCCGGATTAGAGATGGAACAGAACTGCTGAAATGGGGAGCCCCGCTGCCAACACCACAGAGAACCAAAGGGCCGACAGGCCTCTGAAGCCAGCTGTCACCTACATGCGCCCCACTCCGGGGCCAAGGCATGATCTTCCATCATTTCTATTTGGTTGGGCCAGAGGATGGTCATCCCCAGCTCAGCATCCTGTGCTGCCCTGGGGGTCCCCACTGTGCTCCCGCCCTCACCTCGGTCTGGGGTCCGATTCCCACCCTTCCACAACTCTGCCTGCCCCGCCCTCACCCATCCTCACCCGCTCTCCCCTCCCCGGACCCCAAATGCCCGCAGAACAAGGGGGGCTCTGAGTCAGCCACCTGAGCTGTGTCCCTTTGCCGACATAGAAGCCTGGGCTCACCCTGACCTCAGGATCCAAATCTCCCAGGGTGGGGGGCCTCAGAGAAGCATGCAGGTGACGATGACCCACAGGGGACCCTGAGAGCCCAGCTGGGCTGCCCTGGCTCCCATTCCTCTGCCTAAACATAGGAATGATGGCAAGTAACCCCCGCTTATCATGACTGCTTAGGGCTGGGAGCAGGGCTCCTGGTCGGGCTGCCTGACTCCATCGCCCAGGAGCTGTGAAATCTTGGACAAGTCACTTCCCCCTCAGGGCCTGCACGGAACAAGGAGGAGCGCCTACCACATCGGACTATGTGGGCTGGGCCTGACACAGAGCAAGCTCTCACCCAGTGCCGGTGGTAAATAGCAAGCCTCTCCATGCTTGGGTACTTCTTATTCACAAGGGAAGGAAGACTATTTTTAGACATCTGCTGCAGGTTCTGGGCACCCCACATGACCCGGCCCCGGAAGCAATGACAGATGGTGTCTCTCTCATCTGAGCTGACCCTACACTGCCTGGCAGAAGTAATAACTTCGAAAGGACAGACTTACACCCTTCCTAGAATTCGTAATGGAACTGAGACGGCAGCCCAGGGGATAAAGGTTTCTGTCTCAGGGCCTTGAAGAAGTCTTCTCGCTCTCCAATTGTTAGTTCTCATGCAAAAGACATGGTAGTGTAGCTGAGGAAAAGTGCCCTCCATCTCCCCGTCAAGAAAATGCCAATAATACCCAACTGACCTCGAAGTAACTCGGTCATACAATAGATGTAAAATCACCTAGGATATTTGGTGGAGACCCATTCGGCACTCGATCAATATTTGTTGAAAAAAAACTAGATTAGGGGGCGCCTGGGTGGCTCAGCTCATGATCCCAGGGTCCTGGGATCAAGCCCCGCATCAGGCTCCCTGCTTGGCGGGAAGCCTGCTTCTCCCTCTCCCACTCCCCCTGCTTGTGTTCCCTCTCTCGCTGTCTCTCTGTCAAATAAATAAATAAAATCTTTTTTTTTTTTAGATTTTATTTATTTATTTGAGAGAGAGAGAATGAGAGATAGAGAGCACGAGAGGGAAGAGGGTCAGAGGGAGAAGCAGACTCCCCGCTGAGCAGGGAGCCCGACCGATGTGGGACTCGATCCCGGGACTCCAGGATCATGACCTGAGCCGAAGCCAGTCGCTTAACCAACTGAGCCATCCAGGCGCCCTAAATAAATAAAATCTTAAAAAAAAAAAAAACCAACTAGATTAATTTTCAAGCAAATAAGAGAGATGCCACTCAACACCTGCATGGGCCTGGAGGGAAGACAGACACCACTGGTGCTTGAGTGGAGGGGGTTCGAGTCCATACCTTAAAAATGGACGCATCCACTTCCTGATTATAATCTTGTTTGCCGGCGTGTTTCCAAGGGATCCGGAACATGCTCTTCTCATCATTTTCCCAAATCAGCCCTGGGTACATGTTGCTGTCGATTTGCTCGATCAGCCACTGCCGAAGCCGCCGGCCACCATTCCGGTCACACATCCTTGGAGAGAAAAGAACATGTTCTGTGATATTACAGATATTATCTCATTAATCACAGCACCCCACGTACTTGAAAGCCAAGAACTGCCAACAGGAAAATCAGAGGGTTGCAACACAGGTGCCAGCCTCGCAGAAACCCATGGACCCTGGGACCCTGGGCCACCTGCCATGGGAAGACCGTGCCTCCCCTGGGCCTCAAACCCCTGAAAACTGAGAGCTCCCCAGGAAATCTGCCACTGCCCCGTACCAGATGTCCGTCCCTCCTAGCTGGTACTCCTTCCAGCCTACCCCTTGCTCCGTTTTGGGCAAACACAAGCCACATCGAAGGGCACCATTCCATTTTTTAGCATGCGATGGGGAATAATCACCTTTACATTTCCAGGTCCTTCGATGAGCAGCTCATCACCCTGAGAGCCACTTCCCTGACTTGATGCCCAGTCTGACCAGTGTTTCTTAGCAAATATGACATCTGTGTGTGCCAAGAAAGAAGAGATCCTCAAAGCTACCCCTCCTAGATTCTTCCTTCACAGATGGGTTATTGATAAGAGCAAGAGTTTGGGAATGAGACAGTGCTGGGGTCCCATTTGAGTCCCACCATCTCCCAGCTGGGTGACCTTGTATCATGATTTAACCTTGGAGTGCCAGCTACGGAGGCTAAAGCCCCACGAGAACCATCAGTACTTGGCATCTTTGGGGTGAGGGCTCAGAGGATGCACCCGAGGCCATGCCTGGACCTTAGAAGGTTCTCTCTAAATAACAGATGGTATTATCCTAACTTTCTTCCTCAGGAACTCTTACAACCACTTAGAACAAAAGCAAGGAAATCAACTGGGGCCATAGAACAGGGCAAAGTCAGCCAGGCTAGACTCTTCCAGAAGGCACCAGAATTTGGGGACCTCACCAGGGTGCCCAAAGACATCCTTTGGAAGAACATTCTTGCCAGAACAGGCAGCTTTCCCAACAGCACACAGAAAAAGAACAATCATGCCATATCGACGCACAGCCCACATTTACAAGAACAAGGGTGGAAATCCCCTAGACAGTTGGACAGACGCCCACCAAAAAAAAAAAAAAAAAAGGCATTTCTATTCTTCTGATTAAAATGTGACCTTTTTGGGCAAATAGGTTTGAAACCATCAGTAGTGACAAGACATAATGTCCCCAAGAATATGGTCACATCCAGAGCAATGCTGGTCCATAAAGCAAGTGCATGACTTGGAAACCAGCCACCCTCCAGGTGGCTGTGGGATCGGAAGGGGGGTCCAGGTCCTGGGGAGAAGGTGAATCCCGAGTGCCGACTGTAACTTTTCCATGCCCACTGTTGGGTGTAAAAGGGGTGACCGTGGGTGGAATTAGGAATTGGATTTGGATACTGCAGAGACCCAGTAATGGCTTTTCTCCAACTTGACCTCAGGAAAACCACCTGAACCTCTCTGAGGCTCTCCTCAGTGGCAAAGTGAATGGAATTGCATCTCAAGCACCTCAGAATTCCTAAACAGTCCCTTATGCTTCTAAATAAGAAAGGTACAGATTTAGGAGGGACACCTAGGGAGAGAAAAGAAACCCCACCACTGAGCACCCCCCAGAAAATAACCTAGCACCGAACTGATTCCTACAGATCCTCTCAGGGGGGCAAGCCAGGAGAATCTCGCCTCGCTTGAGGAGTGAGCTGTGTGCAGGAGGAGGGCGAGAGGGGCCAGAACACTACAGGAGGGGTGGTGACCGTGGGTCTGTAAATTCAGTGAACTGTGCCCACTCATTAGGACTTTGTTCACCCCCTTAGCACAAGGTTTGTAAACCAGAGTCCATCCTCCAGGAGCCTCCTGAAAATGAAAACAAGATTTTGTTTGTATGCATGCTTTTCTAGAAAGTGGGTCAACACCTTCTTATCAAGATTTCTAATGGATTTGGGGTGCCTCAGCTGGTTAAGCGTCTGCCTTTGGCTCAGGTCATGATCTCCGGATCCTGGGATGGAGCCCCATGTCGGACTCTCTGCTCAGCCGGGCTCTCTGCTCAGCAGGGAGTCTGCGTCTCCCTCTCCATATGTGATCTCTCTCTCCCTTGCTCTGTCTCAAATAAATAAATAAAACCTTTAAAAAAATTTTTTTTCTGATGGATTTAGCCCCCAAAACTGTTAAGGACAATGGTCTTGGTGATTTATAAGGACAGGAAAAGAGAAAATAAAGTTAAGAAAGAGGTCAATGAGAGGAAGAGTGAATCACATAATATGAAAACTGGACAATACTTTAGAAACCATCTAATCCAGCCTGTTTGCTCACGGGAGGAAACACTGAAGCCCAGAAGGGCACCCTGACCCCGCGGCACCGCAGGAGGGTCTTACTTTGCTCACTCTGCAGAGAAGAACTAAGGTTACGTTACCAGACCTAAGCACGTGGACAGCCCCACCTGAATTCTCACTGAGATCACCTCTAAGACTCTAAGTGGCAATAGAAGCCTAAGGTTCTAGTCCCATGATGACCCACTATGATTTATAGAACGCTAACGCATTAATCCCATCAAATGTCAAGCCAGAAAAAAAATTCATAAGGCCGGTCACATGTTTATAACTTCCTCTTCCTTGATTTTTAGATAATCATTCCCTTTATGGGTCAAGTCCTATCTGGAGCTAATCTGCCTCCCAATAAATGGGTCCCGGGTATCAGGCTTCCCAGGCAGGAGGTGATAAGAGGCTGCGGTGGCCCCACCCAAGGCGGATTCCAGGATTCCAGGATGTGCCTAGGAGGTGGTGCAGGACTCACCTCCCACACCTTTCAGGGCCCCAGGCAAGGGTGGCCACAAATCCCCACATCCCCCACCCCCAGACCAAAAGCATCAAAGCCATTTGTCACTTTGACCCCAGTCTTTCTCAAATGACTGAACCACTCCCAATTCTTTTCTTGTAAGAACCTACCATAATCCCAAAGAACATGCTCAGAACCAGCTCCTAACTTATGTTTAAAAAAAAAGTGTTATATCCCCCGACATGTTATTTTAAAATTCTGGAACATTCAGTATCCAGTTTCCATTCATAAAGCACTCCACAGCCCTGGGTAAGCAACATATCTCACTTTGTAAAGTCTCCCCTTTGTCCTGGGGTGCATTTTGCACCAAAAGCTCCTGTTAGCGGTGTGCCCTACAAAGCCAGGGCTTTCTTGCGAGGGACCACTGGGCTATATGATGAGAGCGAAGGGCCTCAAAGCCCACTCAGAAATCGTTAACTGTCATCAGGCAGAAGAAAACCCCAGTGTGCACCCCCTTCCACCAACTAGCTCACACAAACTCGGATGGTCACCGGGCAGTTTCTTGGTCGTGACCCTCCGCGCGCTACTCCAGGCAGCAGGACTTGGGCGGGACCGGAGAACAGGTCTTGCAATAAAGGGGTCAATATTTCCCCTCACTAGATAGGCCATTCTACGGTCTTCCATGCAAACCCGACTCTAAGAAAAATGGGATTTTTTTGGTCAAGCATCAGCCACTTGGGGACCCGCCACCCCGTGCTCAACGCCTGGACTTTGGGTCTGGGTTCAGGAGGAAAAGCAGAGGAGGAGGAGAGACGGAGCCGGGCTGGCCCGCCGCCCGGGCCCCCTCCGGCCCGGCCGTCTACCTGCCGCCGGGCTGCCTACCTGCCGCCGCGCGCGCCCGAGCCCGCCGCCCGCCTTCGGCGCCGCCGCCCGCGTTCCCACGCTCGCTGCCGCGCTCCGGGGATGCGTCCGCGGGCTCGGGCGGCGGCGCGGGTCTAGAGCCGGGGCGGGTCCGGCGTGCCGAGCGGCGGCCGCGCGAGCCAATGGGCGCGGGAGGGCAGCCGGGGCCGCCCAATGGGCGTGGATGCGCCGCCAGCACCGCCCAATGGGCGCGGCCCGTCTGGCCCGCCTTCTTCGAAGGGCTCAGCTTTCCGAGAAATCACTTTGCGCAGAGGCGGCCTCTGACGGTCCCGTTGCCCTTCCGGGGTCCGCGCTGGGGGTCCCGGGGGCGGCGCGGGACGGGGGTGTCCGCAGGAATTCCCGCGGGGCTGCGGGGGCGTCCTTGCGGCCAAGTCAAGGGCAGGGAGGGTGGTGGGTGTCAGATGGCGGAAGTCAAGGCGCTACCAGGTCCCCGGGGCGATGCGGGGCCCGGACGCTGGAGGTCAGGGCATAGCCGGGGCCTCGGGGCAGAGGCAGAGGTCGGATCTTGGAGGTCAGGACTCGCTGCGGCTGGGGCCGGGCTCAGATACCAGAGTCAGAGCTCTGGGATGGATGATGGGTGTCAGGCCGCACAGGTACGGGCCAAGGTGGATATCCTTGGAAGTCACGGCTGGGATGGTGGCGGCCCAGAGGTCAGTGCTGCAGACGGCCTGTGGTCCCCGCAGAGTGACCCCCCCCATCTCCGTGAGTGTGGCCCAAGTTCCTGGAGCTGCGTGGGAGGCATCCCCCCACCCGGAGGAAGCCCCTAGTAACATGTCCAGACAGGGGCAAACTTTACACCTGACCTGTGGTTACTTATAGACCTGGTCCTAGATGACCAGTCGCCGGCAAGTGACTGGGAGTGTAAAAAAAAAAAAAAGAAAAAGTGCCCAGCTATAAAAAGGTATCTGAAACCATTGCCCTCTGAAGATCAGAAGTAAAAACAGGATTGTCTAGCATATTAGCGCTAGAATGTCCAATTAGGGAAGTTTTCATCATAAATCCTTTCCAGAAAATGTCAATTGTGTTGAGGCAGGGTTCTCTGCGTGTCTGTGTCCAGTTTCCAGCCCCTCTGGGATGTTCGCTGGCATTTACTATATATGGGAGTAGAGTGGGGGGCAGCCCTGGTGACAGAAATGACAAAGGAAACCCTGGAGACAGAAGGAAAGAGGTTTCCCCACATTCAGGTGTGGGGCAGCCTTAGAGGGAGAAGAATGGGAATCTTTGTTGACCAATCATACACAAGCAGCAATGTTCACTGAGCCACGTATTCATTAGGCTTTTCAAGAACCTATGAGAATATTTGAGCCTGAAAAAGAAATTTTATTGGCCCCCAAATGCA